TTGAGAGAACAAGGGAAGTAACACGCGTGCCTCGAAGCCCACACGCATGCTGCACTACACACTTGTACGCTTCTCTGTACTGACATGAGAGAGCCAGTGTCTCTGAGGCTTTGACTGTTGGATTCATCAGTACTAGACATGATATTACAGTTCAATATGCCTATTTATGCCTGAGCCAATTCCTTCTATTTTTTATTCAGTGCAACATTTCTTTTAATATGCTTATATATATGTACGTATATGTTCCTTTTTGATATGATATTCCTTTTCCATGTAGATGCTGTAGATGACTTTTATACATCTATTCCTAGTTTCTATCCTGCAGCAGCGCACTCAACTTGACACTCCTGTCTAATACTAATTTGTGTCAAACGCTGTCAAATGCTCCGGTCCCCTTTGTTAATCCAAATGCCAACAAATGCTACAATGCTATCACATCCCCAGCAGTAAGAAATCACAACCGGCGAATGTCACTGACACAATCATGCCCCGGTATCCAGATGAGGGTGACGTCAGTGTCGGCATCAGCGTGCTGGCAGGCGGGTGTCTGAGACCTTCTTTAGTAATCTGTGTACACACAGGGCTCACATCGGGCTCCCCACGGTGCTGCCCAGGCTCCCCAGACTGTGGATTTAATTAAACACTGTGAAATTAATTAATCAGTGGGGTGGCAGGTAGAAGGGACTTCTCACTGGAACCGCTCACACAACCAAGACAAGCATTTCATGTGTGCTGACAGTTATTAATTTGCTGTATGTTTTATTATAGTGCTTCTTTATAGAGATGCTGGAAATTCTAGGAGATTAAAAGGCTTGGCGTGCGAAAAGAGCCATGCAAATTATCAAAATAACAGCTCTGGAGAATCAAAGTGTAAACCTGTGTTTGATCTGTTCTATCAATTAATTAAAAAATTCACTTCTGTATAATAATATGGTGCAAATTAGATGGAAATGAGATAAAATATTCATTTAGTTATCTGGGGAATCTGCCTGGAGGGCTTTTTAGTCTTCAGTCTGGCTCAAAATGCTGTCCATATGGCAATTATGTACAGTAGTGTTGCAGGAGGATTGGTCTGATGCCTACTGGCAGAGAGGAGCCTGCCTGTGACAAACTGCTGCTAGGATCTGATGTGAGTTGAGGGAGATAATGAGGCTGTTGTAAGCCTTAAGTATAGAGCCTGGCCCCGGGGTGGCATATCTAAAGGCTCAGGCTCCCTCATTGTTGCACGTGCAGCTGAGGATTAAAAAACACATTGACTTTTTTCCTCATAAACTTTGTCAGTACTTCCTACAACTCTTTGGACAACTTCTGCTTTCATGTGGCAAGCCTCTTGACATTGCTTTGTGGAGGAGGAAGGTTTCTTTTTTTACGCTTTTTGTAGATATGAAGTCTTGATTTGATTCTGCTTTGAGCTATCTATAGCTCTTTTTAAGCACCCCACTAGAGGATGTGTACATTCTGGGGGTACATCCTAGGGTGACTGAAGCTTTGACAAACACCATATTTGAGAGAGAATTGGGACTTTCTTTAATAAGGATCTTTTTGGTCTGGATTTCCCGATTTTATTTCACTCGCAGGGTTTAAAAAAAGATGATATGGGTGAGGTGTGTTGTTATGTTGTCTGTTATACCACATCCTTTGAGAGAGAGCCTGTGCCTGCTGTGTTATAAAGATAACTGCCCACCTCTTGTGAGGAACTCTTGACATCCACTGCCTCCATCATGCCGGCTGTCACATATACGGCTTGTGTCCTGAGGAAAACAATGGTGCAAACTCTAGCTCTGAGTCCAATTTAGACCTGCACCACACTACAGGTCTCCTATTTGAGTGCGGCAAGGACATCATGCAACCAAGTGCAATACACAGAGAAAAAAAAATCCCTGCAGTGTGTGCAGAGTAATTGAATCCCCCAGGGGAATTGCTATAATGCTTCATGGCATAGCAAGTTTAATTCACTGAATGCAGGTAAGCCCGTAGACCATATTTACAGCTTTAAGTTAGTGGAATAAACAAGACACACTTCCTAATACAATACCAGCAGGCATATAATTAACAGCCATTTGGGGTTTGCATACTAAATAGGAGGGTGAGAAAGAGAGAGAGAGAGAAAGAGAGAGAGAGAGAAAGAGAGAGAGAGAGAGAAAGAGGGAGAGAGAGAGTGATACAGACACTCCAGCCAATAGCATGGCAACTACAGAGCGACCTGCAAATGGCAGGCAGAGTTAGACTACCGGGCAGAGCTGCAAGTGGTCACTCAACCATGGGATTAAAAAGCATTTAAGCCTTGTACCAGAGGCCCCCCCCCTCCCTGTGTTATTTCTGGCCATTCAGGAGAAAAGAAAAGACAAATTTTCGCTCCCTGCATGGGTTGTTATTGCCGGTGCAAAACTGCAGGGTTACAGGTTTTTCACCACGCCAGCATCCATAAACGTATTGCAGTGCTTTCTAGCAGAAAAACATAATGAGCTAAACTAAAAGGGTTTCTGTGTTCTGGTTAAGGTGCAAAATGGACTGTCAGTCCTGTTTATTTCATTCATGTCTGGATGTAATGGAAAACATGCAATCAAATGTAGGACAACATTTGCTGGAGTGGTTCACTTCACACTTGTGTTCACACTTCTAATGCCTCCTGGGCAACAGCAGGCAAATTTATGACAGGGGGGTATTGATGTATTTATAAGGCAAGCGTAGTGAGTGCATGAGCTTGATTAGCACAAATCCATGCCACCAGATAAATCACCAGCTAAGATGTACTGAATGTATTGTACTGGATGGATGTTAAAGAAAGAGCTTTTGATTTGGCGGTCACCAGAGCACCGCAGCACCCTGCCTGACTGTGCTTGTTTTGATGGGCGATGATGAAAGCGCAGGTGGATGCGAGAAAGCTGCTGCGTACTCCTCCACTGTGGTTTTTCCTATTAGCACAGGAGTGGAGGTTTGCAGTCTGGCCGCTGGGCGCGGTGGGTCAGTGCTCACAAAGCTCTGTTTGTTCCCCGGCCTGCAGGGCTCCCAGGGTAAGCCCGGCTCCAGAGGGGAGACAAACAAAAAGGCACCACTGTCTCTCACACACACACACCAAACCTGCTCTGCAACACATTCGTCTTTTCTCCTCAATGGGGTACATTTCTCTTCTTTAGGAGAGGAATGGCAAAAGGAAACAAGTTTTTTAGAAACAGGGCCTCGGGATAACAAAACTGCTGTTGTTGTGAGCTATGTGTTTTTTTCTCAGTTTAAATGCCATTTTGAGTTGTTGCTTGTGGTGATGTGTTTTCCCTCCTTTTTCTGCTTTGTGTTTTCATCTCCTTTTGTCGAGCTCAGACTCAGAGCTCTTTGTCTTGTGCTGCTGTATCAACACATTCTGAGTGAAACCCGAGGAAGCCGCCGCCAGCAACAGGCACATAACACATCATATTTAAATTTCAGCAGCTAACTTTGGAGATTATATATAGCTCTGTTTGTGCGCGGAAAGAAACAAAAGTTCTCCAAATTAATGAATAATTTCAAGGTGTCTCTTAGGTCCATGCACACTGTCTGCGTGTGATTTCTCGAGATGAAATAATGTGCCGGATTCTCTCACAGCTGCTGTCAGGTCAGACATTCGGTGTTGTGCTGCAATCTGCAATCCAAGTATAACTCCATTATTGAGGGGACTTTAAAATGGGAGCCGTGTGACACACAGCAGGATGATTTAGTTTAATGACCATGGCAGTGACAGTGCTGTGATGGAAATTGGACTCCCCCTGCAAATTTACATCACTTGAGGGTACTCGGGGTTCTTTTAGCGGCTGCACTCCGGAGCACGAGCCATCAGGAGGTCCTGGATATGTCATGCTTGTCACCTCCCTTTAAGTGCATCTGCAGACGTGGGAGAGGGATTAATATTATATAGCCTACGGAAGCACAGAGGCCGTCTTATCAGCGCTGCAGATGTGATAAGCACCTCTACCCCCATGAAAACCAGGAAAGATCTCCAAGCAAAGAGACAAGCATCTCTTTGTGTTGTTTCCTCACTCTGCTGCAGAGTTTCAATGCGGCTTTAGTGGCAGATATGGTGCAATTTCACATCTGTTGTAATTTGATGTTGCCCGGATCACCCTCTGTGAAATCGGCTTGATCACAACATGGCTCCTTTCAATTATTTAGAAAGTTGGCATATGGCGATAGTGATAGTAATCTGATTTCTTTTGATTTTGAGGTGTTCGAAAAAGCCTGCAACACGAACCTTAATAGCAGAGATGATAGGGGAAAAAAACCCTGTCTCTGTGATCGTGTTATTTGGTAGCCTAGCATCAGCACGTCGCTGTCTTTCCGAGAGTGAAAAAACACTTATTTATTTAGTAAAGACGTCACTTTTATGGAAATATTTTCCATCACTGCCATGACACTCATCTCGCATTAGTCCACATCAATGCAGATGTCAGTGTGCACAAATTGCAATGCCCTCAAAGTGATTCTGAGCTGTGAATGGAAGTTATGGCAACCATTGCTGTCACTTCAGTTTTATCAGAAAAGCACCCAGTGGAACCATGGAAACAAGATGTGACACAAAAAAACATCCACATCAAAGCCAGCATATACTGTAATTAGAATTTATTGAAGCCTACTCAGTCAGGAAAGGTACATGATCTGCTGAGCCTTTGGATTCAGTCCCATACCTCCCATTAAACATAGACAGCGCAAAGAGCAAGGGTATTACATGATACAAAAATGAATGCGCCCCTTTGTGGGTTCTGTTGCTGTAAATAGAAATAGGGCATTTGTATATTCTATATATAAATGTGTCTAAGAAGAGAAAGCAACTGTTTATATGCAAATAAAACTTGTAATAAGTGTCATATTCTGGATCACTTACTTCATGATGGGCATTTAATGCTAACAGGTGTAGCTTTCTGACTGTATTTACAGTCAGGAAATAAATATCCGGACAGATGCTGAAAGTTTAGAGACCCTGAGGGTCTTTGAAAAAGTAATGTGTTTTCTCAAGAGTGTTGCATGTTTTCTCACACAATACCTAATATGCGTGCGACCCACCAGCGACAGGGCATAATGACTCGGCAGGCCACCTGGCATCCTCTGTAGTTGTACGGCCAGGGCCAGTAGCCACGCAGAGGCTCGCAGACTCTCTGACAGTGAGTGTAGCTGCGTTGGCATTCTGAGCAGCAGATCCCCTGGTGGTCCAGCATGGTGTCAAAGGTCACGGCGGCGCTTTCGTCCCTGGCCCCACCGCTACTGCTGCTGCTGCGCTGCAAGTTTTTGAAGCAGTGTTCATTTTAAAAAAAGGCAATCTTCTTCTTAATTCATGCTCATTTGCAATTCAAATGTTTTCAAAAACTTCTCATCCCCCCCAAACATGTGACTACAGCTCTCTCTCTCTCTCTCTTCGGCGGTATGAATTTTTATAAGCAGTGGGAATTTTGCGCTTCAGTTTGTAAGTTCATCAGCCTGAAATGGCAGCTGTTACCCCAGTGACCTGTCATTATAGCCGCTAATATGGCACCTACTCTGCGGTGTTAGCAGAATAGCATCCAGGTTAGCACTTTTCCCAGCCATCTATTTCTGTGAGCTTTTAGCACTGCTGCCATCTTAAGACTCTGCTAAGAAGTCATCTGTAAAAGTGTTGACAAAACATAGAAACTTGAATTCATCATGTTCCTTTAAGGCGAGCTGCAGGGCTCAGCACCCGCTTCTCGAGAGTTAATCACCAGTTTTGTTTTTTTGGAGTTTGGGAGTTTAGTTCGTCATTAACAGTGTTGATGAAGTGGTTACCCACGTGGTAGGGGTTTTCGGGATTGAACCCCGACCCTGCGGTTGACTGCGCCCCCTCCTCTTCTTCCTGCTCCTCCACCACTCTGGAGATGTCATCCTCTGCGTGACTCACAGGGTCCCTCTCCTCAGCAGCTGCATCTGACTCCTCCATGCTAAACTGCCGCTTGGCTCGCTGTGTGTCTCTCTTTCTCCTCTCCCCATCTGTTACAGCAGGGCCACAGGAGGCAGGAGTATTGGGTCAACATCCACAAGATGCCATACATGTCCTCAGAGCTCAATCCTACATAGCTGGGGCTGTCTCGGATGTCCTGAATAATTCAATTAGCAGCCGTGATTTTCAAGCAGTCTTGCATATTTTAACATCATTCTTTTTTGATACAAGAGCGGAGGTTTTTTTGTGGTGTCGGCTTTAAATGTAGTTTGTGTTCAAGATGTTCAAATGTTTCACCAAGTTTGCAGACAAGTTTAGATGTTTAAAAAGCGTGTCAGCAGATAAGACGAGCACCCACAGCCAAAATGAGGATGAACTTTGGAGGAACTGACAAAATATTGAATGCTCTGTGATAACAGGCTTGTTTTTAAGGCTCCATAGAGTCATAGACAGAATGAATCAAGACAGGAAGGCAAAGAAAAAGGCAAAGGAACCTTTAGGATAGATGGGTTGGAGCCAGTAGATTGGAAGTTCCCCACAAAGGGCCAGGATTTTGTTGCTCAGAAAGCTGGTGTCCTTTAGCGGCTGCTCACCAGCAACCCATACAAGGAACTCCTCATCAAACCTCACTGGCATGATTTCATCTGTCTGTGGAAAAAAATAAAATAATGTCCTTGAAACGCTGCAGCTAGAAAAAGAAATGACAGTGTTAAAAGCAAACTGAATATTTTTTTTCCCCTTTTCAATTTGCTTTGAGTAGTGTGTATATATACCAGGTCAAACATCAGCGCCTCTTTGTTGTCAGCTCCCATGTGTGGAAGGCTGGCTTTGATTTGGGATTTTATATAGCACTTGTCTCCTCCAAAGAAGCGGATTCCGGTTATTCCCTGCGAGAAAAAAAAAAAAAAATCACAGCAACGCCATGTTTACACTCACGGCTTTGCTACTTTTGCTAAGCACACAGTAGAGTCTCTGCTGAACTACCCCAGGAAAAAAGAAGGAGAAGAAGAAGAAGAAGAAGGACAAACTCACTTACAATTTGAAAGTCATGAATCTCCACTGCTTCCTCTGCTCCAACCCCAGTTTTAAATCGCTCCAGGTTGTTGTCAGAATCGATTTCCACGGATCCCTCCCTCACCTCGCCATTGATGTTCATACTATAACGAACGTTATAAACCTAGCAGAAAAGTGGGACGTTAACATGACAGATTAGTTAAGTTATGTAAATCTCACTTTAGCAAACAATGTAAAAGTGACGAACAGGAAAAAAAGCGTCACGTTGCTTCTTCTGTTTTCTTACTGTCTTTGTTGCTTTTCTTGGAGAAATCCTCCAAGACATGAGGGGCTTTGCAGACTTTGATAGTACTGTTTACCGTACAGGTGAGCTCTATATAGTATGCAAATCTACTTTGCAGTCTCTATTCATGATGCAATGAAGCAACATTAAAACAATAGTTTATATGCATTGCAGGCGTAATAAAAGATGCGCTTTCATAGTCTGTAATTCACTTATAGATACTGTATCAGCTGCATTTCAGTTATGAACATAAAAATCTCCAGTGACATCTCATGAAAATACCTGCATGCCTAAAGTAAGACAGCTTTACGATCTGAGTTTTTTTTATTATCTACTTTGGATTCAGAAGCTCCCTTGCCTTCACTTTTATATATCTGTCATTGAAAGGGGCACAGCAGGTAATAATTATAGCATACAGTATATCCTCAGTCGACACTTACATTTTTATTGCTGACTTTCCACAGGTACAGAGCAGCCATGGATGCACACAACATCAACACCGCACCCACAATAAGAGCAGCAGCCCCACATCTTAGGAGGCGACTGACTGCAGCAGAGGTCTGTGTGCTGGACAGGTTTTTTTCCTTCACAAAGGTCAAAGGATGCAAAGAGTAAAACCTCAAGAAGTTAAACATCCAAGAAAGCTGATTAAACTCCAGGAAAACTTTAAAGATTTGGAAAGGCTAAAGTTTTCTTAACATGTCATGGGTGTCAATTACATTCCCATTAAAAAAAAGACATATTAAGCCTGTCTTACCGGAGGCATGCAGTGTTCAAAACAACCAGATCCATGAGTGGTGTTTTGGATTTTATCCATAGTTTCCCTCATGTTGTCCTCTAAAACTCCTCCGCTTCTACTGATGCCTCTCTGTGGAGAATCAGGATATCCACCAGGAGGCTTTTTTTGACATTTGAGCGTGAATGACGTGCAGTTGATATAAATTCTTTGAGCTAAATTCTTAGTCTGGATGTTACCTGTAGGTTTCAGACTGCTTAGAGAGAGAGAGGACACCAGTCTGTGGAACCAGTATAACACCTAACTTCTGAAGCAGGTCTGTTCTGTGTTAGATGTTACAGGAAGTGATGTAATACTCATCAGAAAGGTTTTTAATTATGGCCCTTTTATGCCTTTCATTTACCCATTTACCTCTTAAAGTTATGAGCTTTATGTTTATGATTATTACAGCTTGTCCTCACATCTGTGCTGCATTCAGGTGTCTTTGGAAATGGACTAGAAATGCTTGTAACTAAACTTGTATGCAGAAATCCTCTTAGGTTTTTCTAATAAGTGCAGTACACTTTATAACTGCATTTACATACACAGTTACAGACACGCAGACACCATTCTCTATTTATTATGATTTTTCTTTGTAGACTCTTGTTAAAGGTTACTGTATATTCATTACTTTAAAAAGAAGACACATAGTAAGAAAATAGGTGCAAAAGTGCAGAGCTGCTGTTGCTTGGAAACCAATTGTGCCACGTTTTTTTGTATGACTGCTAAGCTGCAATCAGGAAAGGTGAGGAGATTCTTTGACCTTTGAAAAACATGTAATTATAAGAGTATTTGATTAGCAGTGCAATATTTCCATGCAATTTAAGGCAGCACGGCGGCTCCATTGTGTTGCATTGAGGAGAATATGACATTGACTTATCAATTTATATGTTAGCTCATTCCATTTGTTGTGCTTTATAAGCCTTTAAGGCAAATGAATTGTATTCAGTTGGCTAATTGAGGTTATTCTGTGTGCTTTCTGATTACGTCCTCTGGATAATAAGTTGTACTTTTCCTATATAGAGTCATATAAGCCCTGATAGCTTCAATCTAGCGTGTCATACTGTTAAACAGCAAAACAATGTCAGCTTTTTAACTGTTTATTTGTGCAACAATGTGACAAAATCTACCACAAACATGGTAATCTTTCATATTGATTGTTTTTCCACAGCCCCTCACAGGCGAAATGTCCATTGGTCATGCCCTTTAAATAGTAACACATGCTCTTGAAAAGTCATAATAAAATTCTTTACATGAGAATCATTAAGAAAAATATATTATTAATGTACAAAATCTTGCATATTACACATGATACAATGAACAGTCGTATATGAGCCCAAAGACACGACATACTACAAAAACACTGCAACGATCCAACATGATAGAGTCATGAACATAAAAGTACTGTACAGTATAAAGACATAATCCCCTTTGTGAAGGACTTTTTAAGAGTTTGTGTACTCTGGGATGGACATCTCATCCGTTTCCTGTATTCGAGCCGGTGTTGGAGGACCGACAAGAATATAATCAAACTCCTGGTGTTGGACTTTTTCATAGACGCTCTGCAGCCCATTGGTTTTGGGTAAGTGAGCCGGGTAGTAGTTTTCCCTTCTGCTGTCCCGGGGAAGTGATGCAGTTTTGGAGAATGTTGACAGATGCGGTGCACAGGCCATGCTCGTGTTAGGCCTTGTAGCTGAAGGGCTCCAGCATCGATCTGAGTGTCCCAGGACTTTGCACTCGCTTGTGCACGCCCATAGACCTGCAGAAAAGCAAAATTTGAAGATTATGTTCATTATAAACACTCTCCTCATGGCTCGGATTGGACAAAACCTTCCTTTTTCCTCAGTGAATTTCTATTGAATTAAGTTGTGTTCATTGTTTTTTGACACTCACTGTTCATAGGTGGAGACTCCTTTTTATGTACATCCCCACTTATATCCGAATCACTGTCATTGAAGTCGCTGTCTCCCTTTCCGCTGTCCTTGCCGCTGATGTGTGGATCTCTGGCTGAGATAGTGGTGAATGAATTACCCTTCCATATCGTTATCGGTCTCACTGTTTCTTTCCCATATCCTGGTAGCGTGGAATAACCCTGAAAGGTTCACAAAAGGAAAGACATTCAACGTGAATTTTGAGTCAGGATGCAACGTGAGGAATGGAACAAACTTAAAGCATGTGTGAAAAGAAAATAAGTACCGATTTTACCTTTAATTTCCCCTCCATGGTTCTGCTGTTGGGCTCAAAGATGCCTGCTGTTGGTCTGCCATCCTCACAGCTTGCCTCTGTTGTGTTGCTGCTGGCCAATGGAGGTTTCTCTGGAAATGGATGGGCATCAAACACTTTGCCTTTGTGGTTGGCAATCAATGAATCAATGTGACCGCTCTCCACTTTCTCCACATTTGGTGCATCTTCTTTTTCATCAAACCCCCCCTCCCTGCTCTCTTTTTTCCGCCGGCTGCAAATGGTGGTGATGAGAATGATCGCCAGCAGGAGGAGGGAGCAGCTCCCCGCCAGGACGATGATGATGGCTATGGACATGTCCCATTCAAAGACCTCCTCACTGCCATTTTGAGCCAAGGAAGGCATGCTGGGTAAGGCTCCTTCAATGAAGCTGAAGTGTATAATGGCTGTGGAGGTGAGTGCTGGGGATCCATTGTCGCTGACCGCCACAGTTACTTTGACATTATCTGTGAGATCATATGTCAGCTGCCTGCTCACGTGCACCTTCCCTGTGTCTTTGTTGATGGAGAAGCCCAGGTGTCCCCCCTCTGTGAATTTATAAGACAGCTGCGCGTTGACGCCCTCGTCAGCATCTGTGGCCTTTATCTGTGTCACCACATAACCTGCAGGTGCATCCTTAGGCAGGAAAACCTCGGCAGATCCTTTGTAAAGGGGCGGCTGGATGATAGAAGGCTGGTTGTCATTCTGATCGACTATTTTGAGTCTGATGACAGCTGTGCTCTGCAGCTGTGGTGACCCCCCATCGCTCGCCTGGACGTGTATGTCTAGCAGTTTCATCACTTCATAATTAAAGCTTCTCAGTGCATATATAGAGCCTGAAACTGAATTTAAAGAGACAAAAGTGTTCACAGGAGACCCCATTATAACCCCATCCACCAGCCTGTATGTGATTTTCCCATTATTGCCCAAATCAGCATCCTTCGCTTCTACTGTGGTGATATAAGCTCCCGGGGGGTTATTTTCCACCACTGAAACTTCATACACAGATTTAGTGAAGTGGGGGGCGTTGTCATTCTCATCGCTGACTCTTATGGTGAACTGGGTGATCTTTCTCAGCGGAGGTGACCCGAAATCCTCAGCCATGACTGTCAGGTTATACTCACTAATCCTCTCCCTGTCTAAGGCTGCAGCTGTGACTATCATGTAGCTGTCCTCGTATGCTTGCCGTAGTTTAAAGTGATCGTGGCCGTACAGTGTGCAGTGAACCTGGCTGTTCACACCCGAGTCTCTGTCCAGGGTGCTGATCAGCGCCACCAGACTGTCCTTGTCTGCCGCCTCGCTGATGTGCGCAACGCCCGTCGTAATGGAGGTCATGGGGGTGATGCTGATTTCTGGGGCATTGTCATTAACGTCCGATACGTGAATGATGATTTTGCACACGGAAGGGGTCGGGTTTGCGCCCAGATCGGTCGCCTGCACGTCTAGCTCGTAGGTGCTTTTGTCCTCGAAATCCACGGGGCTTTTGAGCGTCAAGCGCCCTGATTTATTATCCACATGGAAAAGTTCTCGGATCTCATGAGAGACCTGTTTCCCGAACCCGTACACGACCTCTCCGTTTGAACCCTCGTCTGCATCCACTGCGTTAAGGTCCAGGATCACAGTGCCAACCTGTGCGTCCTCGGGCAAACTGACAGAGAAACTATTTTGGTCAAAAACAGGACTATTGTCGTTAAAGTCAGTCACTCTGATAGTTATCTTTGTTGACCCCGATCTGAAAGGGTTCCCTCCGTCTGTGGCCACCAGCTCCACTGTGTATAATGACTGAGTCTCCCTGTCTAGCTCCTTCATTAGTACCAATTCCGCATATTTAACCCCATCCGCTCTCAGGAGCACATCAATGGTGAAGTGACTGTTGACAGATATCTGGTAGCTCTGGATGTAGTTTGAACCCACATCCGCGTCCACAGCTGGGTCCAGAGGAATACGGGACCCCACGGCTGCATTCTCAGAGATCTCCACTATAGATTCCTTGTTTGGGAACTCCGGAGAGTTGTCATTGATGTCCTTCACCTCCACTTGTACGTGGATTAATTTATAGCGATCTTTGGAGAAATTAACCACGTCAAAAGTGATGAGACACTGATGAGTGTGTCTGCAAATTCGCTCCCTGTCAATTCGCTCCCCGACTGAGAGCTGGCCGTCACTTTCTCGCACCCTAATGAATGAGTCGTTGAATTGTTTCATCATCCTGAAATTGGTCTTGGAGGAGTGAGACAGACTCAAGGACATGTCCTTGGCAAGGTTTCCGATGACTGTACCTGGCGCGTCCTCCTCATTGGTCTGGTATCGAACAGTATTTCCCTCGGACCGAGCCAGTGACGCAAATAAAAACTGATAAAATAAGACTATAAAAATCCACCGGTGGCAGTGAGTTGTAAATCTGCCTTTTAACATCTTCTCCCCCTTTGAGAGCAGCCTCATTGTGCGCCGAACAGACCGCTTTCACCTCTGGAGTGAGCTCTCCATACAAGCCCCGTGCGCGCCTCTGAACTGAACTGTGCTGAAGTGAAAGTTACTCCTCGCTGCTCGGTGCGCGCAGGCAGGCAGGCAGGCAGACAGACAGTCAGACACGCTTGTTGCCTCGCCTTCAACACAGCTCAAAATTCTGCAGTGGCGGGGTTTATACAGCTCCTCATGCTAATGAGACGAAGTGTGACCAATCCCTCGCTTTAGAATTAAAAGTACCCCCCTTATGCTGGGAGAAAAGAAGCTCTAAGCCTGTTTTGAGAGTGAGAGAAGTAAAAAAAGAAAATGAAAAAAAAAAGAAAGAAGAAAAAAAAAAATGGGGCAGAGAGATATGCCATAGCTTGGAGATAGTTCTCGCACCCTTTATCGCTTTATTACAGCCATTACAGTGATGGCTGTATTTAGCAAAAGCCTATTTCTTCTTCTTTTGATGTGTAGTTTATTGTCTTCCCAGCGGAGAGAAGGTGTGTATTTACGCGCGCCCTCACGCACTCACCAGGCAAGCTCAAATGTTTTATTTTGGTGAGCTGTGCTGCTTTTGTAGAGGGCGCACCTCATTTAGAGCAGCTTCATTATCTAGAGACACATTCAGCGTGAAATCATCCACAGCCTCTCTGAGCAGGATTGATGGCTGATCGATTAATTGATATCGCCTAGTTTCTATTTTTCCTTATCATCTCTGTGCTCAATAAAACAGAGCAGATCTGCTAACATTTGCCTCCCTCCTTGTTTATGGAAAACACACAGTACATGTGTAGGCTAATTATTCATGTTTGTCTCCTGGGTTTTGACAACCCCCCGCACTTGAAGGCATTGGTATGAATTTCAAATCATTCAAGTCACACTCAGTGATAAACATCAGCCAGTTACTTTACAGCTGTAAGTCTGCAGCATGGCCATGATCCATGATTTATGAGTAAAATTGTGTGAATGTCCTTCTCCACAGATACAGGCTTCCTTATGCGAAGGTTACTAGTTTTTGCACTTTTTTGTTTGGGGCTGTTTGAGACTAAGCTCATTAGTTCCAGCTGAGAAAGATCTCAAAGTCACAGCATGAAATTACACGTAACATTCCAGTGAAATCAAATTAAAGGTTTCTTTAATCATCTGATGGCGAATATGGCCACCCGAAGATTAAAGAAACACAACAACTACCTAAAGGTGGTCTCAGTGATATTTTAACGTTAGCTGTTTCATGGATAAACTGCATACTCCTCGACCTCTGTCATTCATCTTGTGCCTAACAGTGAGGGGAACTGATTTCTTTTATACAATTCAATGCTGTCTGTTTATGTTTAGCCCCTCAAATACTAGCATCAAGCCTTGATCATTTAAAGTATTTGTGTTTAAACATTGTCAAATTCACCACTATTGGATACAACACCGGTCAAAATGCTGATTTTCTATCCAATTTAATGCTTTCTAAACTGTTTAGGTCCCACTTCTCAAATACTAGCATAGAGGTTTGACCATTTATGAACATTACAGCATTTGTGTTTAAACATGATCAAATTCACCACTATTGCATACAACACGGGTCAAAAAGCTGCAACATCTCCTTTTATATCTCTGACAGTTAAAGCACAGATATGTGGAATTAACCAGCGCCCCTGCTAGTTGTTCCAGGGAAGCCTTACAGTAAGTCAATAGTGTCAGTTTTTGTGTTTTAATGTGACACCGCCCGATGTTAACAATAAAGAAGTCAATAAAGGCATGGTGTTAACAGTTGGTTGGAGAGGCTTGACTGTAGCCTCATTCTTATTCGACCTCTTTGGATGAGTGTTTGCCAACCAAACATCATTATCATGAAAGTCCTCACTAATGCTCTTGTGCCTTTTCGCCTCAATAGGAGCAAATCCCTGCTGCCAGGTCCTAAAATCCTTTGGAAATTCCTCCCTCAAGGGTAAAGGGTGTGTTAACAGAATACCAATAGTTTTCAGAAGCACGTGTTCCGCTGTCTATTATTTTTCTACAAATACCTGGCTTTCTTATCTGTAACCTTGTCTGATACTTGACTCTGATTGATCAATACAACAACAGTAAGCTATTCTAAATTATAAGAGCGGTGCTGAGGACAACCATATCGCGCACATTATATCAAATCAATCCACTGAAACCAGCATATTACATTTCTTGCTGTTGGCAGTGAAACTTCAAGTGCTTTCAGTTTTATTGCTGAAGAACAAATCAGATTTAGTTTTATGTGATTCATTTATAACAGTAACCAAGGCTAATCCTAAAACTTCAATGTGAATAAAAATATTACATTTAAAGCTCCTGTTAGTAACTTAGGTTTGTGTCAGTTTTGGTGCCCCCCTGTGGACAAAGCAGTCCTTGTCCTCGAAATGCTTGAACAGTGACAACAGGACTGCTTCCTCAGCTGCTTCTCTGACGCCTACCCCCTCAAACTGGGTTTAAACTTTAAAATGACAGCATAGAAATTGTCAGTTTTGTAGCTGATGGTCTTGTTTGCTTTTGTAAAAAGTCATAAATATAACTGTCAGGCTAGTTCATTAATATTAAAAATCATCTCACAGGAGCTTTAATGTTAATTTAACCCCCAAGTTAAGAATACCACGCTGCCAGAGAAGCCAGCCATCAATTCTGAGAGACTATTTTTAGCAGTATGAATGAACCGATTTTACATCAATCGTACATCAATACTCACTGTGAAGTTATTTGCATCTTCAGTTGGTAGCAGGAAATAAACAGGATTGTGTATTGCCTGCAGGTGACACCAGCTCACTGTATGTTATCTTTATGTATAATATTGAGTCTACACTTCTCTGGCTTATGGATTGAATTGAATCCTCTTTAGTCGTATTAGTGCAGGGTTGTCACTGTACATATTATTCTTCTAATCTGCCACATTGAATTTTCAGTGCAAATACTATTATGGTCATAAAAGTAAAAATAAAATCTATATCTTTGCCAAAGATTTAAACTAAATATGTTTGTTCATTTAATTACGGTGTTCACTTTTTTTTTCTCTATTTCTGCTGCTATGGAGACGACAGGATTATTGAGAAACCTAGAGCAAAAAAAAAACAGTATCCGGGTCTCTCCTTTGAAGCTTCTGCTCACTTTCTATCTCTGATTATTTACTCCCAACTTGCCCATACTGTGCAACTGAAGAGGTCATGGAGGTTAGAGATGAAAACATTGTGTGTACTTTGCTCAGAACGGTTTATTAGTCAGCCTAAGAGACTAGAGTGTGCCGCTGCTAAAGCACTAACAATGATCTGGAACAATAACTCCAACAATAGCTATAATGATCCCCAAAGCCCGCAGAGACACATTGAAAGAGAGAGGCTGCAGTAAACAACAAAGGTACAATGGCATTTGTCTGGTAAACTTTCTCACTAATAGAGAAATAACTGTGACAGATTTGTTCATGAAAAGTGTGAGTCTCCATATTTGGGAATAAACTGTGTTTATTGATGTGTTGGATGAGGAATAATTATTAAAATTTCTCTTGCTGTGAATGAGGGATGATTTTTCTAATTCCCTAATTAGATTCACAACAAGGCAGCCAACATTTCTTGAAGCACATTGTTAAATGTAATTTGTAAAATTATCCACTAAATATACAAATGGACTTCAAGCCCATAATCCAAACACATTTCCTGAAATTGAATTGTGTTTTTCTGTCAGGCTAATAGAGCATGAAACTCTGTTGTCTCCCTTTTTTTGTCTTTTTATCACTGCAATACTTATGCGTAGCTACATCACTGATTTGCAGCATAAGATAAAATCAGTCTGAGTAAAAGAAAAAAATAGTTGGGCTTTTTTTTACAGTTTTTCTGCTACTTGCACCTGAGTCCATTTGCATATTTGATGTTTTTTTCCACTTTTTTGTCATTACACGGCTAAATTTGGAGCTGCCTCACTAGGAGCATAATAGAGAGAAAAATAGCTGGGTTAACTGGACACTCAGGGGAATAATGTGAGAACAAAATACAGTTAAAGCCGCAGTGTTGACTCCATGATCATGCACTAAATAAACTGTTCAACGACAATCCAACTTGGGTCATCGCCTCATTTTTTATTCCCAACACTTTTAATTTGGCATTTTCTGGCTCTCTGTATTGGGTATGATGTCCCACAGTCTTTTAATCACTGCTCTTCACTGTGTCATTTCCAAACGGGCATCTGTTAAGACAACACAATGGCAGCAAAATACAGCAAAACAGATAGTTAGCCACTAGCTAATGAACATGCTGAAGCCTTTAGGAGCTAATAGTTTTTTTTTTTTTTTTCAGAAGGTGTTAGAAACTAAAACTGAGATAAAGCAGTGCAATATTGGACATCAGGTACACTGACATAACTGAGAATTAACCAGATTTACAGGCTGTATTAGACATGTGTTTAGTCTTGGTGACAGTACAGGTCTGGTTTTGGGAATGGCACTATAGGGCAGTCGCCATACTAGAAATGTTGACTTTAACTAACATTCAGCCAATTAAGACAGAGAGTTGAGGCAATAGCCTGGTAAACAGCAACAACACTCACCTGCCAGTCAAATCAGCTACACCACAAGTTATGCCTAATCCACCCCTCACCCCCCAAACCCTGCCGTAACATAATCAAAACAGATAAGATCATAAATTCCCCCCTGTGGTCATGTATTGGTAAGAACATATCTCCGAAATCTCAGTGTCATTTCTCATTATGAATGCTTTCTGCCCAGCATATCAGATCATTAATCTGTGTATGTTTCCCTCATAAGAGAAACATTACAAATCTTCAGTCTGTTTTCTCACAAGCTGAATTAGAAATGCTGGTTCATGCTTTTGTGCCTTTCCTGCCCACTTACCGTACTTCCCTTTTCACCTGCCTAAATAAATCCTTTGTTGGCTGTTTACTGATCACCAAAATACGGCTGCAAGACTCCATCAGGTCCAGAAGGACAACCCACATATCTCTTTTTTTTTCCTTACACAGATGCTAGTTGTTTTCACACATACAGTATCTTATTAATACGATAATATAGTAATTATATTACTATATTGTACAGTAATTTACTGTATCTTAAGACCCTTATATTACACAAAATACAATCCTGTTTATTTTCTTGTATGTTGCATTTTATCATTATCATGTTGCTAATTTATAATGTTTTGCATTACTTTTAATTTGTTCATTGTGTTTTTCAATATCTGCACTTGTTAAAAATGAGGTATTGGGGCTAAAACAGAATAAGTCTGTAAACGTGTAATTCTGTTATACAAATTGGATTTTTTAAATGGGCCTCCATGGGGTTTCCTTGGCATTTGGAACTGGCATCAATTGGACGCCCAGGAACTGCAGATTTTAGCTCTCCTGCTTCTTTTCCCAAAACCAGAAGTTGCCTCTTTATTTAAACTGCTACTGGCTTCATGGGGATCAGGTGTTTGCTAAAATATTGGTCCTATCATCCTGTTATTTTTGTTAGAGGCTTACAATTGAGACGCTACATTGAAGTGTTTAGTCTTAAGACACAAATACCTGCAATAAACAGTTCCCTGTCACAGTTGCTATTATTCCCAATTCCCATAAGTATAATGAAAAAGAAAGACAATTGTATACTTTTCATAACTGCCGGTGTCAGAGTTTTATTGCTGAAGTTGCACAATAACAGTATAATTTAGTTTTAATGTAGCAGAGGAATGACTGAAAGAAAAAAAAAAACACGCAGGATGGTTCATTAAACAGTTTGATAAACAGTTGTTTCTTCTTTCCGCTCAATTTAGAGCCACATGTTACGTAGGCTGATCTTCACTTTAATGAGAACAGAGGTGATCATGGATGCAGTGTGGGCGATTCTCTTTGGATTACATTAAACCAGGTCAAATGGCTGCGCTGATAGATGGATTATCGCACTACAACGCAGCATTAAGTTAAACTGGGGCGCGGAGGAGTTTATGTGAATTTATTATAAGTAAATGGTCGTTAATGGTTGAGGAGGGTTGTTCAGCAGATGGTTGTTTTTTTCATTGTCATGTTCGAGGTCCTCAGTTTGTTGGAGCTTAATTTGCATAGTATTTCTAATTGTATTATTTGGAGATAGTGAACATATAATGAATTGAGTTTTTTTTTCTTTTCTACAGGATTCTCTACTTGTTATGACCTTCCAACAATTCAAGCTGCATGAATATCCTAGTTTCAGATAAGCAGTGCTCTACATTCTAAAAAGGATAATAACATAGAGAGCAGAATATGATACTTAAAAAAATTCTAATACAAGAGCTCAAGGTCACTTCCACAGGAGGACTATTCTGTATCCCACACTCTGTATTCAAGCTACGTTTTATATTAATATTTGATTTTTACATCTTAGTGGCAATTTCTAAAGCTGTTTTTCATCCATGATGAAAGCAACGGACTGTCGGATTCCTCAGTTCCTCAAATGTCTGTATGATGCTGATGGAAGACCATGATAGCATTTTTATGATTAATGCTATATAATTGTACCGGGTGCAACTGTTTCCATGCAAGTTACTGGCAAATTATTCACAGCCCCAAACAGATTTACCAAGTGAGTGAAGGAAGGGAGGGAGCAGCAAACAGAAAATGTATGAAAAAAGAAACTGTTGCAGGGAAAGATATTTCAAATTTACTGTTGGCCCACAGACACAATTCCATATTTAATGGGATTGTAAATGCATTCAGTTTCAAGGGATGCCTTTGCATTTTTAGTTCTCTAATCACTCTGGTCCATAATGTGCCTGAAGAAATGTCATGATAGTCTGCATTTGTGGAAGGCACTTAGACTCACATTCTTCTACAAAGATTAGAAATCAGAGGCAAATTACACTGTGGTGGAGCTCAGCTACACAGAATATTTCTCTGGTGTGAGACCGCTTGCCTTCAAAAACTCAATATTCCATGTCTTTAAGGAGTCAGGCCATCTTCTTTCTCCCTCTGTCTCTTTGTGTTCAAGTCATTTATTCAGCCCGTGTTCAACCTGACATGCAAATATGACATTTCAGTTTTAGGATTCCTCTGACACATTAGTAAATACTGCAAGTACATCTTTCAGGCCATGCAAAATGTATTATCATGTTACAGATCAAACAAATGTTTTGTCAGGGGCGATTGTAAAATGAATAGGTTTACATATTTGCAAGCTCATTGATTAAGATGAGGGCATTGATAAAGCTCTCAAAATTTTACAGTTAAATCAGTTAACCAGCAGCAGCTGATAAACGTAGCATATAGGATAAAGACTAGAGATAAAGAGGAGCAGGTAGCCAGCTCCAACCACGGTAACATTAGCCCTCTAATAAGTAATTAAATAACCAACTTATCAATTAAAGAATCAACCAGGCAGCAAACCCACCAACAAACCAACCAACTATCTGATCAAAAAAGGGACCAAACTGACCAAAAACAAGCTGAACAAATCAACCAACAAGCCAACAAACCAGTTAACCAACCAACCACACCAATCGATCAAAAGAAGGGAAAAAATACATGAACAAAGTCAAGCAGCGCAAATTAACCAAATAATCAATTAACAATAACAACAAATAACCAAATATACAGCAAAACAACAACAAAAACAACAACAAAACCAAACTAAACTCAAGTAAGCCAAACCAACCAATCAACCAGCTCAATCAAACAAAACCAAGCGACAAAACAACCAAAAGCAGCGAACACCAAACAGAACCAAATGAACTAGCCAACCACATAAAACCACACAGACAAACAATCAGACACCAAAGCAGACAAAACAAATCAAACAAGCAATCAAACCCTCCACGTCAAACACCTAAACCAAATCAATCAAAACCAAATAGAAACAAACCAAGGGAAGCAACCAAGAATACCATACAAAACCAGTCAACCCATCAAACCAAGCTAGTCAATCAAAACCAAAGCAACCAATCAAATCAAACCAAACAAATTAATAATAATAATAAAAAAAAACTGCAATCAAAATTTAAATTAGCAAGATTTTTACCTGACTTTGCCACCAAACACTATAACTATCATAATTGATACACCTAACGCAAACTGCAAGCGCTTTTCTATCTTGTGAGTAAAATGAACCAGAAGTCTCCTCTGGCAGCTTGTTGTTTCTGATAATACTCTGAAAACATTTACTATGGGTTTGCAGTGATTACATGTAACCAGCTGCAATTCTTTGACAACCACCCACTGCGCAATTTTCACTTTGAGTTACAGAATTGCAGAGAAGGGATGGCTGCATACTGTGACCCCATTGACATCATATCACTGTGGTTTAGCTGTATGCTTACTGTCTGTTGTAAGATACTGTATGTGTGAAGATTACTGGCCTGATCATAAACATAGAGATGAGAATGTACTGGCTAATACTACATCACTAAGACATTAGGTTGTGACTTGCTTAGATGGATCTGTCAATCGGGGAACACTGAGAGATAAACAAGGAACAATCTGATAGTTGATGAATTATGAACAAGTGTTTTTTGAAGACTTTAATCCAAAGGCTGGGTGATGGAAAGGATGCTATATTAATGAGATATGTTATCTTCATTTGAATTAACCAGCAGCTATCTAACAGACTTAGTTTAATGTTGTTTTTTTCAGAAGGAAGTTCAAACAGGGTCATACATGATAAGGAAATAAATGAATGAGTAGTTTTAGAAATGATTCATGACTCATTAGTTTTCCAGGAACTCAGTGTCAGATTCAGAGTTGTTGGAGAAAACTGTGTTCACTGAGTTTCTGCTCAGTTCAGATTTATTTGACATATCTTACTGTGAAGTGTTCAATTGATATTTTTGCACAGATTAAGTTGCAATTGGACAGATATTTTACAACTACAAGTAATGCTGTCTTTAGAGACCAGAGTGGTGGGTGAACTATTTCTGCAAACAGTCAGAAGTTAAACCTTCACATTATTGTTGAACACTTAAGAATAATGGTCCCTGGTGTCTTTTTACTGACACAATATAAAAGAGCATTTCATCTTAAGTAGTGAGTAGGAATGGTAGCCATGTTCACATGGAGGACTACCAATCAAAAAGATAGTCTAATCTGAATAAAAGGCTCAATGTTAACACCTCAAATGGAGCGCAGTGATTTACTCCAGCCCAGCCAGAAAGAAATTTCACTTTGATCCAGGGAGTGCTGTTTGTCGTTCAGATCATCATCCATGTTAACGCCAGATCAGATTTATTCTTCCCGATGGGGGTAAAATTATTCTTACTGCGTATATGTCTGTTACACATAACAGGATAAGTTTCTGTTTGTGCTGCTACCAGAACAGATAAAGACACAGCAGGAGCTAACAAAGCTGATCTGTAGCCCACAAAACTTCTGTTGCTGGAGAACTTGAGATTGTTGAACATCTTGTTGGTGAAACAGGGGAAACAATACAGTCAGAGACACAAGAGAGGAGAATGAAATCTAAGCTGCACAGCGAGGAGCATTATCTTGAAGTACAGCGCAACAGCAGTGATGTTTTAACTTAATGTGTGAGATTTTATGTGTGACAACATGTTGACGGGGGTGTTTGTTATCAAATGGGACAAGTGGAATCCATGCAAACGGTGATGTTGGCACCAATAATCAGAATGATGTTAATTGGGTTAAAGAAAATTGTGAATGTAACAATCACGGGGGGGGGGGGGGGGGGGATGAAATAAGACATACTTTTGGTTTTGCCTTTTTTCTCCATAAGTTTTTTCTGACCATTATTTCAGTAACGTGAGCTGAATAAATGACTTCAGTAGCTATTTGACAAGGGAAATAAAAAGAGAAACTCTGCAGTCCCTCTCACTGTGAGCTAATGTGCAATATGGTTTTGTCCATTCACTTTAAAGGCACTGTGAGGACGTTTTAAGTAGTTAAGAGGCAGGCTAAAACTGATATTAATGCCTCTAACTGACCTCCAAAAGCAAACTAGACCATCGGTTACAAACAGAAAAATTTTTAGTCCCAGCAGGCTGAAGAAATAACTTTATTTTTACTTTTCCATGGCCAATACTTATATTGGATGATACATTTCACTGTTAAAAGATAATAGGATAATTGATCACGTTGTCGACAGGGGGCGCCACAATCAACACAAACCAAAAGCTCCTTACATCAGCTTTAAGTTGACGGGTTTGATTGAACCGCTGTGAAAAAAGTCAAGCTAGGCGCTGTAATAAAATACAATCAGGATATTAAAAGAAAAGAGAAACAGAGAAGGCAAGTGGAGGTCAAATGTTTTGACCTAGTTTATTTACAAGAAAAAGAGGATGTTAAAGAACGGATTCAAGCTAACAATGGTAATTGAGATGTAAGGTGGGTGGTATTCAGCTTTGCACATAAAATGCTTCAAGTCATGAATAAATGAACATCAGTTTATCAAGGCTTAACAGAGAGCATAAAGCAGTCTATTCATTTTATTAAACTGAAATTGCATGTGTACTACTTTCTACACCTCCCTGTATGTATGCTGATTTGAAACAGTTAGGTGTTGCTCTTTTGTGATACTCTTTCCTAGTGTACCTCAGCCTTAAGTTATTCACAGCTTTTAGTGTGTCGTTTGTGTGTTGAGGTGTGGTCAGGACAATCGTGCAGGGCTTTTTTTTCACGGTCCCAGAATTCCGAGTGACGCCCCTGCAGCCAACGTGTCCATCTGTACAATCAAGAATCTATTTTTGACTCGAGCTGTCCTTTTTTCCACCCTGCCTGTGAAGAAAGCTCTTCCACAAAGTTCACAGTTCTCATTCTCCGGGGAGAGCGTAGAAGCTTTATTTTATAGCGCCAAACTGCTGCGTAGAGATTGGTAAGCAAAGTGTATTCCCCAAAATGTCAAACACTTCCTTTAAAGTGGGGTGATCAAGGCATTTCAAAGCAAAAGTGACGATTTCCACACTTGAATAAAGGCAGCTGTTATTTCTAAAGTTGCAGCTGAGAGGATTTCTATTACCTCTGCTAAAGTGATAACGGGGTCACAGTGCCCTCCTATCCGGCCTTGTCTTTTGTATTCAGTTGTTATCCACATATGTTGACCCCAGTCCGCATAATTGCCCCATTGTATCACCACTAGTGACACACTTCACATGGGTTTAACCTTCACATGAAAGAGGTGTTTACACGCTCTCTGCTGTTGGAGTATTTGAGTCAACACTTATTTTCAACACAAGTCTTTGAAGTCAGTTTTTCTCTCCAAGGGGATAGATTAGGACATTAAAAATCTGTGGTATGAGAGAGGGGAAAAAAAAGCTGGGCTGAGTTTTGTAGACCAGATATAAGAGGCACTATGGATCGTCTAAGCTTATTATGGGCTGTTGAAATGCATTCTTCAAAAACATGCTTTTAAATACAGGCTGCGAAATCTCAGATGGCCACAGCTCCCACAGGCAACATCAGATCTTTTTGTTCTGAAGATGCTCTCTGCTGATTAATTCAAACATCAAAATAAAACTCTGGTGTTTTTCATATGCGAGAGCAAAGCCTCCGACGTCACAAGGGGCTTTCAAACCCCATCGGAAGTCTTACTCACAGAGAGAAGCCAGTGTTATGTTTTATTGATTCTTCTCCTGGAGTTCGGAGACAATCAGGCGGATGAGTTTCTCATTTCTCTCGTAATGTTTGGACTGAGAGCTGCATCCCAGTGTTCAAGGTGTCTCTCCAGACGTGTCCCACAGCAGATATAAACAAAGTTATTAGATGAGCAAGATGAGATTCAGAGGGAAATTCAGTGCTGGGAGCTTTGGAGGAGCCCTCTGACAGTACGTTCTGGCAATTCAGACTGTCATGCTTCATTGTTCTTTGGGGGAAGAAGGGTGTTGTTTGACTTTGAATGTTACCACAGAGCTTATACACTCACCAGCCGAGAGTCTTGTTTTGCATTATTGTGCATGTAAATGAGAATTTATGTTTTGAAAAGAGGCGGCGCACTAACAGTTTTGCATAGTGATGGCAGATCAACTTAAATATGTACAGTAAGTGCAAAGCATTGTCGAAATATAGGTCATCTTTCACAGGCGGTGAGATTTCCCCTCTTTGTGTGCGTCTGTTTTCAGAGGAGGAGGTGTTTCAGATAAGAGAGTATATGTGTGCTCAAATGGGGGGTTGGGGGTCATATCTGTATTACAGCGAGACCATCAAGTCTCATACATTGCAGATGGAGGAGGCGGCGACTCTAGCATTTAGTGCTTTCTTGCCACAAGCGTTAATATGGCTGTTTCTACTCATGCTGTTTTTGCTGCGAGCAACGCGGCGTTTGAGGCATGTGCTTCACAGGCCTGGATGAGGTATAATTATGTAAATTGCATTCAAAGGAATCAGCAATAGCTCATGTGGAATGGATGTGTCAACAAGGTGTCCACATTCAGCGGGAGAATTTGCTAATTAAACATGACACCGTTTCTCTCTCCGCACATGGGCAAAGTGAGACACAGTGGTGTATATTGTGCTTGTGAGTGAAAAATCACCATCTCCGAGAAAAAAATAGGCTTTCAAGTGTAAAAAATTTGCCCTGCGGTTCACTGCAGGACCATTAAACTTTGTACATGTTGTTGACATGTGTGTAATGGAAGTGCCTAAAACTTCTCACAGCCTGTCCACACAGCAGCCTCCCTCATGCCCTGCTACACAAAAAGGGATGATTTATTATACTTTGTCTGGCCCGCTAAATGCCTGAATTCTATTTGACAGAAAGCATAGATACACCACTGTGCCTGAAAGTCTGCAAAGCACCGTACCTGAAAGGCAAAGATTAATTCAATCCATCAGGAAACATAAACACATTTTCCCCTTTTTTTTGTGTGATTTCTGTGCAGATGATTCTTTATCTATTTCCAACTTATCAACAAGACGGAAAGCGTAAAACTGAGTCAAATTCTCTTTGGCTTTGGTAGAAGTCGAGGCACATGATGTGAGAGAAGAACCGAGACAATTAATGAAGGAGAGACAAAATGCTTGGAGAGCTCCTGAATGACACTTGAGCGCTGGAAACAGGCGCAAAAGAAAAGGGTTTGAAGTTTTCCCTTTACTCCCTCCTCCTCTTGCGTTCGCCCGAGATGAATTGGC